TATTTATATGCCTAACAGACTAGGCATTTGTGACTGTGTTTGACTTTTTACCACTGTGATATACACTTGAAACAAATTAAAGGTTGATTTATTTTGGATTGTGAGTCTTCAGTCCATAGTTGGCTGACTTCATTGCTTTTAGACCACTAAGGAGGTAGAAATATCTGGGCAGAAGGGCAAGGAGGTGGAAAGTGATTCCCCTCATGGTCTCCAGGGAGCAAAAAGAGATGTCTTGAAAGCCATGTCTTCCACAGTACTTCCTCCAACTGGGCACCTTCCAAAGTTCCATTACTTTCCAAAGTTCAATACCAATTTGAATCCATCAATGAATTAGATCTCATGATGTAATTGCCTCTGGAAATGCCTTCATAGAGACACAGAGAAATGTCCTTTACTAATTTCTGAGGTGTCTCTCAATTAAATCAATTAAAAAAAAATCAAGATAAACCACAACTCCATCCTTAGTAATTTGACACCCAAACACATCTACTTAGACCCCACTTAATCTCCAAATAATGGCAGTAACAAGGCCACAATTCTGCCTAATACTTAAAATTTAAAGATTACATTTATTTACTGTGCGTGTGTGTTTATGTGTATGGGAGCATGCACCATAGTGCTATATGTGGTGGTCAGAGAATGGGAGGAGTCAGATCTCTCTTCTACCACATGAGTCCTGGGCATCTGAACTCAGGTTGTCAGGCTTGGCACCTGGCATTCTAAGCATGGGCCCCTTCCTTTCTTTTTAATGGCACTAAATCTCTTTAACAACTATGTGCCCCTGTCCACAACTTTCAGCATGTTCCTTTTCTTGCAAGTGTAGATTTAAAAACAATCATTTGGGGGACCAGGTATACACATTTAATCCCAGCTCTCAGCAGGCAGAACTCTGTGGGTTTGAAGTCAGCCTGGTCTACATAGTGAGTTTCAGGTCAGTCAGAGAACACAGTGAGACCCTGTCTCAAAAACAAAACCACCACAAAGGTTTTTCTCTCTTTGGGCTCCCAATCTTTAAGCTTCCTAAAATCAGCCAAAACGTGTCATTCCCTGAATGGTAGTCTGCCTTGAAATTTTCTCTGCCAGATTAGTCCATCACCTTTAAACCAGCAGCACACAAAGTCAGGGCATAGTCAAAAAGCAGACAAACTTTCTGCCATAATGTAACATGGCTGACCTCAAGTCCAGTTCCCACCAGAGTCCTTCTCACCTGGAACCGTACAACTTGCCTAGTCTTCTTGATATTCTGGTTTCTGAGTCCCCACCTCCCCTCAAATCACCCAAGTCTGCATAACCATTCTAGAGCTTCTGTATCTTGCATCAAACTTTTCTAAATTTCTCCCATAAATAAGTCCTAAAAACTTTTTAACAAGGTTAGAAATAGTCTAGTAATGACTCTAAATATCACAGAAAATGTTATCCAAGGCCAAGATATGCACATCAAAGCCAAACCTCTGGCAGCCTACTTCCTCCAAGTTAGACTTACCGTCCACAGTTTCACCACTTCCAAATAGTCTATCCTATAAAGCTGACACCAAATTTAACCATTACAAAGATGAATTGTTCCTTAATTACAAATTGCTTGATTAATGTAGTAAGGTTTACTGATGGGGTGCTGATTAGAGCAGCAGACATGAATACAAACTGTACAACTTTTCAAGCCACACATCTATATGGTATAGATATCTAATTTGTACTCTTAGTAAATACGTATTTTCTACCTAGGATCTAAATAAGGATATTATCAACAGACAAGAATTTTGCCATGGCCAAGAAGACACCAGCTTCATGACATATAATAGCATGATCAGAAGACATTGGGTTAGTTTTGGTATGTACTCTTAGCAAATTCATACTCCCTGGGGGGTGGGTGTTGACTTCTAACTACCCTCATAATCACCCTTTTACATGACAATCTTGTACAGAATTGGGATCAAGTTCAACAACTCAATCTTCCACCAGTTCTTGCTGAATATCTATCATATACCAGTTAGTCATTCTTTCAGTGCTGGACAAGCCCTGTTTACATGAAAGACTAAATTAATTTCATAATTTGATTATAAGACTAAATATTCAACATTAAGTTGGGATTTTGTGACTCGATCAATTCTTTATAGAGGAATAATACATAGCTCTTTAAGTATACATTCTCTACAAAAAAAGTCTAGAAAAAGGTAACTAGCACAAAATGTCAGTAATTAGCTCTGTAGCTTAAGCATCAAAGTGGTAGTTAGGGAAAGTTGTTTCCTTAAGCTTTAAACAATGGCCTAAAAATATGTTTTGAAAAATGGTGTCAAGAAATACTAATGCAATAATATTGGTTTCACCTCCCCAAACATTATCCTAGATTTTGTGAACCACTTATTTGAACCACTTATTTTTTTTTCCTTAAATGTGTCAGCACCCTGACTTGAGACCTCCATTAAAATTATAATGTAGGTTAACAGACTCCAAAGGTGATATATAGCGAGAGCATGGCTTGCTTAAATCACTCACAATTTCACTCAGGTTGGAAGTCAATTTGAGGGCTGGGGATGTAGGTCTGGGGTAGAACACTTACCTAAGCAAGCACATGCAAGTCCCTGGGTTTGATCCTCAGCAACATGTGTAGGTTACTCATGGATTTCATAACCACGGGCAGAAAACTTTCCATAAAAATCTATCAATACCAAGGAGCTACACTTTTTGGACTTGTTAGTAACCTCTAAATAATATTATAATTTCAATAGTATTTTCATTGTATTAGGCACCATAAATAATCAAGAGATGATTTAAAGTATATATATGAGAGGATGTGGTCAGGCTGTCTGTAGATACTATGCCACTTTACTCAGGGTACTGAAGGATCCATAGTTTGTCATCTGCAGTTATTCCTGGAATAATCTCCAGAGATACCTGGGGGCCCTGTAGCTTTTCATCTGGCAACAAACATACATGTATTTCACTACAGTTCAAAGCAGAGTTAAAACGTTTTCTTTACAATTATGTCTGAAATATGTTAGTTTTATAATGAAACAATCCCTTTTTAGTAAAAGTAAACACAAATACTGAATTTACAGATTAATTTTATTATTTTCATTTATTGATTTTGTGTGTATTTCATACAGAACATTCTAAACAATCTTATTCATCTTTATACCACATCCCAAATGTCATCGTCCCATAGCCCGCCCCCAGCCCATATACTCTGTCATCCCTGTTACTGTCCACTGTGTTATCAATGCCCCCAGCAGTTACCCAGTGCTAGCCCATTGCTGAATCTAGTCAGCCTATCTAGAGTTCCTTGTTTTAGGAAGATCAGCTTTTCCTCATCTAGCAGCAATCAGGTGACAACATTCCTTTATATAAAATTGGGGTCAGCTGTTCATTCTCCCATTTCTATGCTGGGTTACTGTCTGGGAGACTCTTGGGCCACCCTGGCCAGTAACTCAAAGGGAGGTATCTTCTGTCTGGCATTGTTTCTTGTTATGTAGCCTTTAGCTATACACATGGATTCTTAAAGAATTATACTGATCACTTTAATCTTTGGTAATATTTTCCTTTTGGGTGTTTGAGACCATACAATTGGCCCTGATTAATCATTTTATTTTTACTCTTAAGGTCGTTTGAGGATCTGTTCCTCAGGGGTCGCATGGGCTTGGGAGGAGCCCCTGGCTCCTTTCTTTTACCAGTTCCATCTATGTGAAGATAAGTTAAAGGTCCTGCTTGACTATGGCTGGCTTCACTTGGAAGTATTGAGAAAATGTTTCTTCTGAGTTGACCCTCCTCTTTGTAGACTGGACACTGGTTCAAGTCCATCTTGTTGGGTCTCCACAGCCTCCTTGATCAAGAGGACAGGTGACTCATCACAGTTACAGGACATTTTGAGGGATGCTCCATAGTCCTCTGGAACTTAAGTCGACCTTGAAGGGCAAGGAGCAAAAACTGTCCTTTAAGCCCCTCTAACCAGATTAGCATAGGCCTCAAAGTATGGCTGTTAAACATCCAAGGTTAGTTCCAGAAGTCTGGTACTTTTAATTACCATGCGCTATGTAGATAAAGCTTGGGCAAAACCCAAACGTTCTCCGTTAAACCTTGACTAGACATATATTATGTTCCTTGAGCTAGTTGCATGTATAACTTGTCAGTAGGTTGTTGGACTAATATAGTTCCCTGTTTTAAAAAATATTTTATTTTTTTTTAATGTGTATGCGTGTATTTCCTGAGTGTAGGTAAGTACACCCGTATTGTGCAATGCCTGCCAAGGACAGAAGATGCTGTCAGATCCCCTGGAACTGGAGTTATGAACAGTTGTTAGCTGCCATGTGGGTGCGGGGATTCAAACCCGGGTCTTTTGAAGAGCAATCAGTGCTCTTAACCGCTGAGCCACCTCTCCAGCCCCAGGGATAACTAGACAGTTGTACATCCATGTTTGTTGCTGCTCTTTTCACAATAGCTAAGAGATGGAAGCAATCTAAGTGTCCCTCAACTGATGAGTGGATAATGAAAATGTGGTTCATATATATGATGGAGTTTTACTCAGCAGTAAAGGAAGATGAAATCATGAAATTTGCAGGTAAATGGATGGAACTAGAAATTGTTATAGTAAGTGAAGTAACATAGACTCAGAAAAACAAATGACATATGTTCTCCTTCATATGTAGATCCTAGCACCAAATCCTTATAAGTGAGTATGTATCCAGACATAACTATAGGAACCAGGATAATGAAAAAGAACCAGGGAGGTAAAGGAAAAGAATCTGAAAGAGAAGAACAGTAGGAAACAGGTGTTAATAAGGGAGATATGGATGAAAATGGGGTTATTTTAAGGGGGGAAGGGACAGTTATACAAGGAACCTTGGGGATAAAGGGAAAGAAGGAGCTCAAGGGGAGACCATAAGAGAAGGGTATTATTAAGGGAGAGATTAGATTTTTAAGATATTAGTATACTTTCACAAATATATGCTTCCTTATTTTTGATTGGATATAGCGTTTCATGATGAAAACACAACAAAAACCAAAACCAGTATGCAAAAACATTTTATTTATAACAGATCAACATTTCTGACATGAAAGGTAGCCACTTTCAACTTCTCAGGAATGCCTAGAATACAACAGTTCAGAAAGACTAGTCAACAATAATTTCACTATAGGTAAAAGAAAGAATTTCAGAATGAGTTTTTAAATGCCTTTGCCTAAGACAAATTATTTTATAAGATTTGAATGTATGGGAAAGCTGGCTTTCCCAAAAAGTGAATGTAATCAAGTGTACTAAGCCAGTTTACACAACAAATATGAGAATCATCTGTACGCATCAACTGTGCTCAAATGAAGAGTTCTTTTTATCAAAATAATTCATTTTTCAAAAAGGCCTCACATGAACCCCTCAAACCAGTCACCCTCTTCCTATGTCCAGCACTCTTTCTATTCCACTACATTACTGTAGAAACACCTGTCAAATTCCAGTGAACTGTACATTAACGTAAGATTCTATAAGATATAGCAAACACAAGAATAGTCACTGACTTTAAGGGACAAAGTGACAACTAACTAATAATAATTGAACCAATGTCACCTTTCAGTTTAGAGAGAAAAAAGGAGCCCCAAATGTCCTTAACTTTTCAGTACTTCTCTAAAACAGGCAGAATGAAAAGGTAACCTGCGGAATTTAAATCATCAGAAAGTATCTTAAGTCATTTTGCATAAGTAGGTGTTAAATTTGAGATTCAAAGTAGATTACTGTCTATATTTCAATTTGGGAATAAACATAATTACTAGCTCTTCTCAGTTACATTTTTGAGCATTTACATCTACTATAAATGTAAATTCACCCTGGCTACTACTCTCCAAGCTTAAGTGCTGTCTTTCTTCAGGTAAGATCATCATATGCAGGTAAGTGTTGGGGAGGTTTAAATAGCACTTAAAGAATAGTCATGAGAGCTCTGAAATATTGAAGTTTCATCATTATCTATTTACTGTAGGAACTGTAATTCAAATTCATCCCAGCAGCCTAAAATACTGTGTGAACTGAATGACATAATTCCTACAGAATACAAACTGAAGTCCAAAAGGCACAGAGTAATGCTGGTGGCTCTTTCTAGTCAGTTAGGAAACAATAAAAAGTCTGTATTATTCTTTTCATAATTTAAATACTTAAGTAATCTCCACTTTTATTACTTTATAACAATGACTTCAAATTTACATTATTTTAAGTACCATTGTAATAGCTTAGCGTATAATACAGATATCTGCTAATATCCCATCCAAAAATTAAAAAAAACCCAAAAACCAAAAAACAAAAAAAATCTCTTCACTATACACATATATATAAAAATTATTCTCAAAGAACATAGAATAGGGACTTGGTACAGATCTTTAAATCAAGTTTCTATTACCACAGTTGTAATTCCCAAATCAACAGATATACAGCAATAATCAAAAGCAGTGCAAATATCTTTGGAGGTTAGGATAAAATTTGTAACACAAGAACATAAAACTGAGGAAATAAAAAAAGGTGAGCACTTCAAGTACAAGGAACCAGTCTGTTGAGGTCCACCTTAGTGTTTACTGGGGGCTTCCTTCCTGCTTCTATTTCTTTCTCTGAAACACATTAGCCAACATGGCACCTGATGTTGTCAATTGGCCCATTTTGTTCAAAAACTTGGTCTTTGTGTCTTCACTTACTAAACTTGCAGCAATCGACATTGAGCTAGGAAAGAAAATTTAAAATGAATGTAAAGTAATTAAAATTTGAAATATTCAGTTTTTCTTTTTCTTACATTTTAATTTGTGTGCGTGTGTGTGGGTGTGCACAGGCCATGGCACATGTGTGGAAGTCAGATGCCAACTTGTGTGTGTTGGTTGTCTCTGTCCACCATGTGGGTCCTGGGATTGAGCTCGGGTCATCAGGCTTATGGCAGGTACCTTTACCCACTGAGCCATCTTGCTGGCCCCTCAGCTTTTCATGTTAGTAACATATCATCAATACATTCTGAATCATTATCACGAAAAGGAAATGAAGATCTGTGAGAGGGAATTTTTATATATCATCCTGTTACTTACATTAAAAGAAGCAGCAGTTGTTAGGATCAAGTCTGGAACAAGACCAAATCTTGACTCTACTTACTAGCTGTGCGGCCTTGAGGAAGTTATTTCATCAGTAGAATAGAGCCCTATTAGGATTATACAAGTGCCAAGTGCTTAACATAGTCTGAAGCACATAAAAAAACAGGATGCTACAAGTAGACAGGTCTGTCATTGGCCTGGGGCTTACTGATTTAGCAAGGCTGGCTGTCCAGGAAGCCCAACTGATCCTTCTGTTTCTGCTTTCTTAGAGTTAAGATTGCAAGCAATGTGCCAGCATGCCTGTTGTCCCCACTTTTTGCATGGGTTTTAGGGGCTTAACTCATGTTCTCATGTTTGCGTGGCTAAGCACTTTACTGACTGAGCCTGGCCCCTGGAATTAATTCCATCACTTCATTCAATTCTTACAGCAAGTCTAGAACACAGACTTCACCTGTTTTTACAAATGAGTAAATGAAACCACAGTGAAGTGTGTGCTGTGCTGATAATAGTCCTATTCCCTTCTTTGGGAAAACATGTTCTGAACCACCCGTTGATTAATTTCAATGATCAATTTTCAAATTTCTTCTTTCTTTTAACAAACCAAGTATGCACGGAGTACACAATCTGAATGACTACTACAGACTGCCAACTTACTGTAGTACTTAGTAGGAGAACACCAATGAAGCACAATTTCTCAATGACCTGACAAATGTCTCTAAGACTCAGGAAACCCAGTTCACTGCCTGATGGTTCTGGCCAAGATACTTTAGATTTCACAGATTTAGTTTCCTTGTATATAAAACACAGTGTGAAATTTTCTATTGCAACATGTCCTGAGGATTAAATAAGGGTAATATGTGGCAAGTTACAAGTGCCTCAAAGATGCCTAGTGGAACTTACAGGATGAACTAAATGCCATTACGGGAACTGGGCTTGTGTTATCTTTCTGATATGCATTTTTTCTACTGAAAACCCAACCATAACTACCACCTTGAAATTTTCTAGTACATTAATAGTTTCCCTCTTCTCTCCCTTTTTTTCTTCCTCAAAGTAATCTTCTATAAGGTTCAGGTTTTGGCTTTTATTTAACAGTTATAAAACTGAGTCTAAGGTTTCCAATTTTGGATGACACCAACATATTTGCTGACTCATACCTTTTTCCTGAGAGACAGCTTCACATTACTATGGCTTGCTGAAGAAAGCCAACATCTCAAGTTTAAAAAAAATAGCCCAAATTTAGAATTAACTCACTTTTAGTTGAACATGGTAGTGCATAACTGCAGTCTTAGAACCTAGGAGGCAGATCCAAGGGGACTATTGCGGGTCAGAGGCTAGACTAGCAACATAGAGAGTTCTATGACAGCCAGGGCTACACACAAGACCAGATGAAAAAAAAAAAAAAAAAAAAGTAAAAACCCCTCATTTAATTTCCTTATCAGCCACAGTTTCTACTGCTTTCCTCTCAGTGAATTTAATAGCTTCCTGACTTTCTACATCTAACCAATCCCTGATCTTGTGACTTTATTCTATGAAACATTGCATCTGCTATTGCTTTTTACTTCCACTGTTGATACTTTACAATGAGTTACTTCAAAAGTCTTGAGAGATGGCTTCCTAAATTATATATTAAAAATTAGGTCCATATAGGCTGGATGTGTCTGTTCTAGAATCACTGGTACACATTATAGTCCTCTGGGGAAAGTTTTTGGAAAATACAAATGCCTAGACCCAACCCAAGTACGTCGGATACTTTCCACTTGTGGTAGAGGGTCCAGATATCTCATATAAAGATTTCCTATAAGAATCACTGAATTTCAGCCTTTATTTCCTGAAGAGTTTACATTCCCCCAATTTCACAAAGGAAACTGTAACAATCCCCAAAGACTAGTGAATGTCTGCATCTTAAAATGCTGGGCTACAATCCTATGCATGGCCATGCTCTTCTAGGGAGAGCCCTTTCCAAACAGCATAATCTATCTACCCTTTCCTAGCCATAAGCCTTTACGGCCAACATGCTAATGTTCTTAAATTCCAATGAACTGACTACATACCTCTCTAGCTGTAGTACAAATCTTAAATTTTCTTCTTCAGAATAGTGCTTCCTATAGTTCTGCTTTGTTTTTAGTGCCAATGTTCAAATTAGAGATCTGGGAATGGTAATTCTATTGTCAAACTGGGTTTTCATCTGAAGCACATCTCTACTGCTCTTTCTTCTTAAACTCACTGCCATTCATAGGCATTAGAAAGTGGTAATCAAGATGACAGTCTCAAGAAACAGTGTCTGGCTCTTCAACTTAGCCTTGTGACCTTTGGGCAAGTTACCCACTTCTGTGCCAGCTGTAAAATAAACACAGAAATAGCATCTACTTTGTATGGTTATGTGGTAAGCTACATCCCACCTGATCTGCAGATTTCCTGTGCTTGTAAAGCTTTACTGGAACACAATATGTCTATTGTCTAAGTATCTGTCAGTATCTATTGTCTAAGTATCTGTGACAGAGACTGTGTGGTCTATAAAGCCTCAATTGCACTTACTAAGTCTGCCCACTCTGGGTCATTCTGGACCTGCCCTTCTTTGTACACTTTCACTCTCAATTCTTTCACATAGACCCTTTTGCTTTAGCTTTACTTTGGATTCCAAATACATGCTCTTCTTTGGTTAATGTGCACAGACTTTCTGCAGGTAAAATTTTACTCCCCCCTCCCTGCCCTTTTAGGCCTCCCAAGTTAACTGTTCATTCACAGCAGATTTTCAGACATTGGCTTAAGGTTTTGAGGGGAATCTTTAAAATTTATCTTTGCTTTTGTTTATTTATATTTTCAATTATTATTTTTTCTACTTTTAACTGTTTACCCAACTGCAAGCTCATCTGTGTGAATAGCTCAAGACAAGTGTTCAGTAAACTTTACTGGATGATGAATAGGCAAGAAGGGTACCACACAGGAAGTAGCTAAGCAGAGTACGAATATCCTGAAAGTGGGAATCCTTTGTGTGAAGAATGGGCAGAACAGAGGAATGTGAAGAGCAGCTCCCACGGCCCTCTAAACCTCTCCTGGCTGACTTTGTAGTTAAGGCTGTCTTTTAATGTACACAACAAGTATAATTTCAATATGAGATTATTATATTACCTGTACAGGTACCACAAGGTCATGCTTACATTGTGTCATCTTAGTCTAATGTAGGTTATGAAAAGGCAGAACCATTTCATTTATTTTTTTGCTTGTTTAGTTCCAACCCTGAGCACAGTGCCAGAAATGAACAAAGTTTTTCTTTTATAATATTGCGTGTGCATGTGTTCATGTATGTGAGTGTGGGTTTAAGTGTGGCCATGTGTGTGGATGTCAGAGAACAATCTTGGGAGTCGGTCCTGGTTTTCTACCTTTTTCGAGGCAAGGTCTCTTGTTTGCTGCTGCATATGCCATGCCAGCTGGCCCATGAACTTATGGGGATTCTCCTGTATTCACCTCCCATCTTCCCACAGAATGCTGGGGTTACAGGCAAGGTACTGAATCTGGCTTTTTTTTTTTTTACATGGCTTCTGGGGACCTGAACTCAGGTCCTTACACTTCTGTAGCAATCACTTTACCTACTGAACCATCTTCCTAGCCCCAACAAACAATTTTCTTTTTTGCAGGGAAGAAATCATATCAGATTTCTCCTAATTCCTGCTAGTTCATACTTTATAATTTCTTTGGCCTTGTCTCTATTCTGTTAAAAATCACATGTAAATGTGTTACTTCCCTATAAAACGGTGAGCATCCTAATGTAGTGAATCATGTGCAAACTCTTACATCTCATTTTTGAATATCTGATGGTGAATGCTTCTACACATATGCTTTTGTTAAAGAAATGAGTAAATTAAAGACTAACAAATCAATTTTGTAGAATTTCTCCTAATTTACTTGGTCTCTAGAGAATACTTTTAAAATAAACAAAACATTTAAAAGGTATTTTTACAGTAACAGACAATTAAGAAAGATAAAGATAACTCATCTTTAAGCTTTGCAGATACTTTTAAGATAATTCTGTAAAGGTTTTATTTATCTAATTTTATGAATATGAGTACTTGCTTGCTTTTATGTATGGGTACTACATGCATACCTGGTGCCTGTGGATACCAGAGGAGTGTGTCAGATTCCTCGGAACTGGAGTTACAAACAATTATTAACTACCATGTGGGTTTTGGCAAGTCCTCTGCAAGAGCAGCAAGTGTTCTCAACTGTTGAGCCCAAGGCCATGTAAAACTTAACGATGATTTAAAAAAAAAATCATTAGGTATAATTTGTAGACAAAATTGTTACTCTCTCTTGCTCTTATTCTCCAAAAGTATAATAGTCATACTAGATTGCAAGAAAGGCTCATACAGAAATAATTAAAAGTTAACTGGAAAAAGCTCCAATTGGCTAAAGACAGGATAATTTAGGCATTAGTAAGAAATAATACAACATACTAAATTATATAAAATATATTTAGATATATGAGTTCATATTGATATATATGCTGGATAGCTTTAGTTGTCAACTTGACACACCTGGTTGAGTGTGCCTCAATTGGAGAACTGCCTCCATTAGACTGGCCTGTGTTCATGTCTTGATTGTTGAGTGATGTGGGAGGGCCTAGCCCATTGTGGGTGGTGCCACCCCAGGGGCGTGGTGGTGGTGGTGGTCCTGTATTATTTAAGAAAGCAGGTTGAGCAAGGGCCAAGGAGCAGGAAAAGAAAAGGGAGAACTGTACACTCACTGTCTACAAAGGGACTTAAAAGTGTCAGTCCACTGCACTATATAGAACTCATTTGGATCTTGACTCAAACTGTAAGGAAGAAAATGAATAATAAACCAGTGACAACACTGATGAAATGGTTTGAGATTCAAACAGAAGAGGGCATTGGATTCCCTGTAACTGAATTTAAGGATGGTTGTTAGCTGCCTTGTGGGTGCTGGGCCTGATGACCCTCTCCACATTATTTTTTGAGATGGGATTTCTCACTGACCCTGGAGCTCACCAATTCAGCTAGAGTGGTGAATTGTCCCAGGATCCTTCTGTTTCCACCTCCTCAGTGCTAGGCTTAGAGGTATTGCTGTTGTGCCGGGCTTTTCAGAACTTAGGTCCTCATGCTTGTGCAACAAGCACTTTACCAACTGAGCCATCTCTCCAACATTACTTTACTTTTTGAGACAGAGTCTCTCGTTAGCCTTGAGCTTGCTGAGTAGGCTAGGTTGCTGGGTCAGTGAATTCAGGGATCCTCTTGCATTTGCCTCCTAAGTGATGAGTGCCCCTATACCCAGCTTTTTATGTGGGTTCTAGGGATTGACTTCAGGTCCTCAGAATTGTGTTTAAGCACTTTACCAACTAAGCTACCTCTCCAGTCTTATTTTCTCCTTTAAACTCATCTACATAATTCCATGAAATTTCATTTAAAATGTATTTTTGCATGTTAAGTTCCAAAAGTTTTACATTTAAAAATATGAAGGCATCATATAATCTTGATATTTAATATATGACAAAGGACTAGAAGTACTAGCTTTGGTGATGATTTTAGGGATTCATTATTTCATCCATTAACAGTAAGCCTTTTACTCTTTCATTACACTTCTACTGCTTTAACCCTCTATGGCTAAAATAGTGGGAATATAAGGAGATCTCTTTTTATCCTAAGAGGTTATGGAAAAGTTCCCAGTATAGAGAGAAGAGACTTGCATGTGTACTAGGTGCAGGGAGGTGCATGCTCTGCAAGCATGTGTGTATTTGTGTGTTTAAGTGCCCAGACTGACAGGATGAAACACTTATTCCTGGTAGCCTCAAAGGAAATAAATTTGGGCTCTATAGAAGATTCATTTAAAAAATAAAATATACATAACTCATTTGTAAATTATTTCCGTTTTTGAATGTTCAACTTACTCTTAGACATCAGCATTCACATTCTAACTTGAAGTGAATTCAGAATTCATTGAGTTTTTGAATTCTATTTAGTTTGGCCAGATAGAACTCAATCCAGTACCACAAAAGAAATGTCTCTGGACACTTTTAAACATAAAGATAGGTAGGCTGGAGACTGGCGAGATGGCTCAGCACCTAAAGGTGCCGGCCACTAAGCCTGATGACCTGAGTTCAACCCTCAGGACTCACTTAGTGGAAAGAGAGAACTGACTCCTGTAAGTTGTCCCCTGATCTCCACTAAGTAAATAAACAAACAAACAAACAAGACAGATATCTAGGTTGAACTGGAATGTTGAAGGGGAAGGCACAAACCATGACGTAGAGATATCAATTTTAAATTCCTCATATACATCTGATATTTTGGCTCACAGTCCAACATTTGAGAAAAAGCTGACTTCAGTAATTTTCTTGTCTTCCAAATAAGTGATTACAAAATAACACAAAATAAAACATTATACCTACAGATAGCAAATTTAGACAGAGAAATTCAGATTAATAATGAAGCCTTAAAAAGAATAAGTGTCTTACCCTTGAGGTTCTTGGACAGTCTTGTTTTCTACTTTTTGTTCACATTCTTTTATCATGGAACTTAAAATGACCTGGTTAAAAAAAATCATGTCAGTGAAATACAGCTAACACAGTCAAATACTATAGTTTAATCTTGTTCTAATTTTTTATATCATATAAAGCTTTAATTAAAATTTAAATTTTTGGCAGCTACTCTGTTAAAGAAATTGTGTTCGATTACTGGAGTGGGTACTTAAGCAACTGTGCAAAATCTCCTGTCAGTGCTGAAGCTCTTGATTAGCAAGAGCGAGGCCCTGGGTTCACCACCCATCTTAATCACAGTAGCCTTCTTTCTGAATCTGATTTCCATTCTTTCTTAGATTTCCCCAACACCATCTAATATTAAAATTTATATACACTGAACATATACGCCCCCCCACACACTATGGGCATACACATACTTTCCTAGTAAAAGTTGTTTGTTCTAGGTCCCTTTAACTTTTTGAGGTTTCAAAATATAAGATATTCTATTCTAATGTCTAAAGTTGAGACTAGTACAATTCTATGTAAAATATACTCAGTGACAGAATAGGTATCTGAGACCTAACATCATTCTTGCAGTGAGACTGAGTGAATAATGGACAGGAAAGGTGCCCCAAGGTGTTACTCCTATTGCTAAAAAATCACACAGAAACTGACCACCACCCTTGAATAGAATACCCTTGGCATATACTGTGGGCATGGAGGTCACCAAAGAACCATTTATTATGTGCCTACTATGTCTCCAGCAGTTCAGATACTGAGAATAGGGAAAACAAAACAGACAGCATCCACCACTTGTGAAGTTTATGTTCTAGTAATGGAGATGTATAATGAACATAGGTAAATTGTATATTAAAAGGTGATAAGATCAGAAAAACACTGTGAAAGACAAGGATACTGGAAAGCTAAGGAGGACAATGTAATTTATACAGAGCTGTTTAGGACAGACTTCATAAAGATGGCACTTCAGTAAAACCCTGAAGAGGATGGAGTATAAGGGATATTGGGAAAAGGCCAAGCTAAGGTCTAATACAGGAGCAGGCCTATATGCAACAGTGTGAAAATTAAAAGAGTGGGTACAGAGTACTGGGAAGAAAAATAGATTGGTGAGAAAAGCCCAACATCATGACAAGAAAGCTGCTAGAAAAAGATCTTGAAGATACAGAATTAGAAACAAACGATAGGGAAAGAGCAGGCAAACAAGTGAACAAAAGAATTAATGGTGACAAAATATACACAATCGATCTGAAAAGTTAGTTTCATAGCTAAAAATATTTCACAGACATTAACTTCTTAAATTCTCATTGTATCAAGTGAAGGAGAGTGTTAATCTCTACAGGATTACACAGAGGTTCTAAGATGCTGAAGAATCTGCTAATGTATCACAGCTAGCAAATTCTCCACAAAAAATGTTGAGCTAGACTTGAACACTGAAGCACAGTGTATCATAATGAAGTCTCACATAAAGGAGGATGAAGTGTGGATAAGGTACTAAAGCCCATGAACTGATCACAGTAGCTTACCTCATGCTCTGGAGAGAGATGTTCCATGTCAGTTCGTAAACACCTGAGGCCAGGTAAAAAGTGATTTACCATTAAATCCTCTGAAATGACTGAGACAAAGTAGTTAAGGAAACTGAAAAAAGAAAAACAATTGAGGGTCCAACAGAAAAGAGACTGCACATAAAGAAACCTCTTAAATAGTGTCTGTGCCATACTGATCACTCAGGGTAATCAGGTTTCCTTCATGTAGGACTCCTTATTTGTGGAGAAAGTTAACTACCAAAACTCAACTTGATATTCTTACATATCTATTTATGTTGCTGTTATCTGTTACTCTAACATTCCATAGTTTAAATACTATCTAAATGCATAAAAATGACCAGGTCATTGTATCACAGTGTATGATTAAATTAAATCATGTAATCTAGTCAGATGTTTAAATGAATGTAACTCAAGAAAGCTAAGAAAATATTACCAGGTGGGTTAGGGAAACAGCTCAGTTGGATCTCAGTTGTGATCAAACATGAGGCTCTGAGCTTGATCCTTAGAATTTGGTACAGTGGTATACTTATAATTCTAGCACTAGGGAGGTAGAGACAGGAGGATCTCTAGGGCTTGCAGCTCCAATGAACAGTGAGCCTCAACTCCTACTGAGAGACTCTGTCTTACAAACTAAAATTGACAGCCCCTGAGGAACAATGACCAGGGTTGTCCCTCTGGCCTCCACATGTACACCTGTGCACACATAATTGTACACACACACAGACACACACACACGCACAAATATTTCTATTGACAATGAAGTTGAAAATTGTGTAAAAAACCTGATAAAGGTTAGTTGCTTATAACATCACTAACTGTTATGTATAAGACAACTGTAAAAGGTTGGGAGAATATAAAAATCTAGAAAAAAGACATTTATATTCATTATCAGAAATATTTATGTATTCTAATTAAAGATCCACTATGGCCCAACAGACGTGGTATATCTGAGAAAGATGTTCAGCTATAATCAACAGATTCACATGTAAGCAATAGCATGGTCATAGATCAAAAGACTGAAAAAGAAAATATCATTTGTCTATTTTAGGTTAAAATAAGTTGTCTAAGGTAACTATAAATTTCCTGGTTTCTTGTTTTAATGACCCTGTTAAACTGTCTAATGGTTCTGAATGAATGAGACTTGCTATAAATTGTTTGCTTTAGTTCCTGGTCACCCTAAAATTTTAGTTGATTATCTGGATATTCAAAAGAATCAGGAAAGCAGATCAATTTCTTAAGAGAGCAATTCATCTTATTAATTCACATCAATTCAGGCACATCCCCACCTTATTCTAGCTGTCAGACATCTAAAAATAACTCTTGCTAAATATTATGTTAATGAAAAATGACAGTATACGAGTTCCTTTACAAAACTGACTTAATCAGTCTTTTAAAAAATTAGAATGAATTTCATTAAGAAGCAACATAATGTATATTATGTACTTGAAAATAGTTTATTGTTCACAAAGCTCGTATACTAGAGTAACTCATAAATGAAATAGACACTAAAAATATACACAGGGGTACAGAGAGATGGCTCAGTGAGTAAAAGCGCCTGATGACCTGAGTTTGATTCCCAGAACCGACTTAATAGTAGGAGAGAAATAGTCTGGAAATTTGTCCTCTGACCTCCACATGCAAGCTTCCTGTGGCATGTACACACATAGCTGTTTTCTCCTCCCCGCCACACAGACACACACAGACACAGACATACACAGACACAGACACCAACCAACCAACCAAACAACAACAACAAAAAAAACCAGACATGATACAGAGGGCTGCAACCTGATTATGTAGTCTTTTTTTTCTAGATATGGGGAAAGTACCACCAAGATATAACTGTGGGTGACCTTTGGATTAGTAAAGAGTGTGATATAATGAAACACGGGCATGGAAGGAGAAGCTCAAGGGGCCATAATTACATAGAGGGAAGTTATTCTTCTCTTTCTACTCATAATTGGGGCCTACCTTTGCCCCATAAAAAGAATTTTTCTAAGACTGGAAATTTGCATGCCATTTAGTCCTATCTGATATTAAAACTGACTCCACTTTATCGGTAAATGGTCAAAACACCTGACTGTTAAGAACAGAACTTTCATAAGACATACCATTGCATTTTAGATAACTCAGTTATAGTTTCCTTATAACTAACTACCTTTAAAATTACTTGTCACCCAGCCCAGCCTGGTGGCACACACTTTAATCCCAGCACTCAGGAGGCCAAGGCAAGCTGATCTATGTGAGTTTGAGGCCGGCCTGGTCTACATAGTGAGTTCTGGGTCAGTCCTGGCTACAGAGTAAGATCCTGTCTTAAAAGGCAAACAAGCCCGGCCTGGTGGCACATGCCTTTAATCCCAGCAGTTGGGAGACAGAGACAGGCGGATCTCTGTGAGTTTGAGGCCAGCCTGGTCTACATAGCAAGATCCAGGTCAGCTGGGGCTATAGGGAGACCCTGTCTCAAAAAGACCAAGAAAAAAAAAAAGCAAACAAAAAAACAAAAAACAAACAACTTGTCACTCAACACTGACCACTGGCTTTCACATGCATAGATGTGTACACTTGCACACATTTATGCACCCACATATATACCCCCTCCCACACAAACACAAACCTTGTCAAATTTTCTCATCAACCCTACGTCATCTGTTCTTTAGGTTAAACATTTTTGAAGTCCTTCAAACTTGTCTTCAACATGACTTTTTGAATATGTTGTACTTTTTCTATGTTCCTATTAAAAGAATCAGTTGCTGCTGAAAGGAACTCATGCTCTGATCAGCTCAGAATATAATGGGACTGCAGAACAGACTTGGGCAATGCGACTTTATTACTGACCACACCATGCTTGATTCCAGTACAAGGTTTGAGACATGTAGAACACATTTAGTACTTGAACAGGGAATATTGTTAAGATAGCTCTTTCCTTTGTTGTACTGGTGAGGGACTTTTTATTGTCTTTATTCCAGCAGTAGTTTGTACATACTGAAATACTAAATATTTTTCTGTATAAATTTCTATGTTCTTCAGAAACCATTACTTTTCCCATTTAGAAGTTTGGTTTTACAAAGATGAAATTTTGATCTTTTGGCTTTTCCATTTTCCTTGAGGCACATTCTTTATACACTCTCTACTATATAATATATATCACACGATATCTTTCTTAAGTTTTAAATGAATACTTTTAGAGTCTAATAAACCTATATATGTATATATGTAACATATATATATGAGTTACAAACTGTCAGACCATTATTACTGTCTTGCAAGGATTGTTACTTCTTCATTAAAAAATTCCTTCTTGCTAACTCAAAAATATCAGTTCCTCTTTTTGCTTCCTCTATCTTCTCTAAGTTGAAAAATTCAACAAGATAATCAGGAATGATAAGTTCTGCTTTTATTAGAACTAAACTTACAAAAGATACGAACACTTAAGGTATAAATTACTTTACTGCTTACTTTATAACCTGTATTACAAAAATATGGCCTATGCCATCCACATGAATATTTATATATTTATAGTAGATTCTCAAAATAAAAGGAACTCAGCAATGCACCCTTCTTTCCAAGTTTTAACATTTTCAGAGGGACAAATACCTCCTTATCAGACAGATTTTCTAATTTAATTTATTCTGAACATAAGCAGCCTCCCACTGGTATATTCTAGTATAAAGAATCCAGCACTAATGAGAGTCAGCAGCATTTTAGGATGTATTTATCTTATCTGAAGTGACCTGTTCCCTATGCTGCTGACTGACCTGGCATACAACGTGGAGCTGTAATAATTCTGAAACTCTTCCTCTGTCATCTCTGCTCCCTCCATGAATCACCAAGAACCTCAATTCTCATTTTTTTTCTCACAATCATAATTCTTCAGTTACTTGTCTAGCATGTGCTTTCATAGTTCTGAGTACTCAGCCTTCCACTCTTCTCACTCTCCTCATTCTACTATTTGCCTTTTCTTGAACTCTTTGGCCTTTCAGTGCAAGCCAGAAACGAGTTTACTTAGCTCATCTTTATTTCCTTCCTAGTTTTATTTTACTGGATACAGCAGAGAGAACATTCAATAGGATAATTAAAGCACTTTGTTCCAGTTCAGTTTTGCTTTTAACTATGAAAAAACAGAAGTTATACTAAGGTCTTTATGCCTTCGTTTAATCATTTACAATATAGTGGCTGATATGGGCCAAATGATCCCAAGCTGTCTCTTAGTTCTGTAACTACTGAAGATAATTACCATGTTTGCCTTGTACTTCTCCAATGAGCGATGTTTCTCTCAGAGAAATTTACAGTATTTCACTGGATACTTAGAGTTAAACATTCACTGCAAAATCCATATTGCAGAACTATAATTCATTCTGCCCTGCATTTCTTGTTCAATTATATAGATGACCAACAAAAAGTCCAAGTTAAGAAATTGCGGTTCATTGTTATATAAAGGTAGACGCTTAAACACAGCAAGGATACAACAACAGGAGAGCGCACTGTAGGCTTCAAAAAGATGGGTAGCAATATCCAGTCTTTTCGAATCCACAATTTGTAAATTGTTCACCAAGGCTAACTTATGTAAATGTGGTATAACAACTGAAAAAGGCAAAAGAAGCTGTTTTATCCTAAACAGGCATATATACTTTATAACATATAATATTAATTTATAAAATTTCATTTTAATGCTACTTTCAAAGGCTTATCCCCATTCATTCCATGCTTGCGTTTTCTCATAAGGAAAGAATGTATGCTTTTTAAAATCAACTGATTTGCGATTCAGGAGATTACATAATACTATCATTATTAACTAGCTTGAAGAATGTTTACAGGTCATTTTCTCATTATAATTCAAGTTCCCAAAGTGAAAAACAGTTGAACCAATATAAACAATTTATGTATCTTTTGTTATTAGTCTTTTACAAATGACTTTCTTTATAAAAATATTACCATTGTTACTATGTAAAAGGCATATAAGCTTACTGTTTTTCAATAATAAATTATTTTACTCCCTCCCATGCATCATTTTCTTTAGTTTCTCAAATATTTAGTAAAGACCAGTATCAAATAGCTCTGATAGCTGAGATTTCAAGTCACCTGATGAGTGTAATAGCCTCAAAGAATAATGCAAAATTTCAAAACTTATAGATAACTTTCGCTAAAATAAAAGCAATGGCATAAGAAATGATAACCATGGTAGTACACGCCTATAGTATAGGCATTCAGGAGGCCTAGGCAAGAGGATCACAGATGGAGGTTATCCAGTAAGACAAGACACTTTCTCAAAACAACAGTAACAAAACCCCAAAGAACAAAATCCAGATAAAAGTCACAACACCAGGGTTGGGGAGATGCTCAGTAGGTAGATCCCCAGTACCTACATAAAAAGTTGTATGGCATCATGGGCCTGTAATCACAGCAACGGGGAGGAAGAGACAAGAGAGGCTTACTGGTCAGCCAATATAAACAATTGGTGAACTCCAAGTTCAGTGAGAGACTGTCTCAAAAAAATAAATAAAAAAATATATTCTAGTCTAGAGTAGTCTAGAGGTAACTAAAGGTTTTATATATAAGGGCCATCTAATTCTCAAGAAGACAAAAATTATCTATAAAAGCCAAGATTTCATTGTATGTGAATTATCCTAGGCTATGTTAATTAATTTGCTTAATTTTTAACTCATCAGATGGGTTTAAATGATTAAAAGTAGTAGATTATTCAAAGATCAGAAGAAGATTTAATAATCCTGGGTGGGTATAATTCTATACAAATCTTCAGTAGGGAGAAAAAAAAAGAAAAACATTATTTAGCAGCCCTTTTCTTCAAGGTAGACTGGACAAACATTTAAAATAGCAAATAAAGATAAGAGAATAATTTAAAAAATTAGATTGCAGCAGGCTGGAGTGATGTCTCAGTGGTTAAGAGCATTGGCTGTTCTTACAGAGTACCCAAGGTTTGAATCCCAGCCCCTATAATGGTAGCTAACAACTGTCCCTAACTCCAGTTCTAGGGGATTCAACACCCTCTTCTGGCCCCTGTGGGTACTGAACGACATGGGTGCACTTAAATACATGCAAGCAATACACTCACAGACATAAAATAAAAACAATAAATTGAAATATTAAAAAAAAAAAAAGATTTCCGGAGACTTATAAAACATTCTGGGGCAGACCCAACAGCCAAAGCAAACTGCATCTTATCTTTTTTTCTGTAAATGCATTCAGACCTGAAGTAAGTAACTTAGAAAAAACTGATCTGAATCTGGGCATGGTAAGCACATTTGTAATCCCAGCACTTGGGAGGCTGTGAGTCAAGAGGACTGTTCAAGAGCAGCCTGAATTACAATACGAAATCCTATGTCAAAAACTAAAGGAAACCAAATGAGATGAACTCAAACCAAAACAAAACCTACTAGAGGCTTTAGAAAATACCTAATTTATGGCTGAATATCATAAAGTAGCTGAAAATAAAGAACTACGCAGTGTTCTAGATAAAACAACTGATGTTTAAAATAGACGCAAGACCAAAGGTCCAATTAAAAATTGGGAAATAATAAAGGCTACTGAAAGAACTAATGCCAGTTAAGGAACAGAGAGGTAAATAATCCCTATTACCCAAACTGACGGGCTGTAAATAGAAGATACTACCACCCCAAATCCTCCATCTTCCTCTAAATTTCTAAAGAAAATTACCTATAAATATAGATAGGTAACGATATAGCATTCTTTCTGATATGGGTTCTAGTTCATTATTAGCCTATTAAGAGTTTTTTAATTTATTTTTTATTTTATGTGTATGAGTGTTATGCCTGCATGTAGGTAAGTGCACTCGTGTTGTGCAATGCCTGCGGAGGACAGAAAAGGCTGTCGGATGCCCTGGAACTGGAGTTACAGACAGTTGTTAGCTGCCATGTGGGTGCTGGGATTCGAACCCGGGTCTTCTGCAAGAACAGTCAGTGTTCTTAACTGCTGACCATCTCTCCAGCCCCAACAGTTTTGATATTAAATTCCTCAAGGTAAAGTCATTTGAAAATAGTAAAAACAAACAACCCCACAAAATAATTTTTTCTTGAAAAAATAATCTTTTATGTACTAGGATTTGAAAGAAGACTGTAGAGGACATATTTGCAGGTATACAGTAAGCTGTAGGAGACCAGAGATAATAGTTGACTAGACCTATTAAAAAACTAAATATTGGGGCTGGAGAGATGGCTCAGCAGTTAAGAGCACTGACTGTTCTTGCAGAGGACCTGGGTTTAATTCCCAGCACCCACATGGCAGCTACAAACCGTCCTTAACTCCAGTTCCAGGGGAATCCGAAGCCCTCTTCTGACGTCTGCGGCGCTGCACGACACAGGTGCAATCACATACATGCAGGCAATACACTTGTACACATAAAATAAAAATAATAAATATTAAAAAAACTAAATATTTTCCTAAGCTTATGTGTAACTTCTTTTGAGACTACTATGTGAAGAAAAA